ATAGGGTGAATACATCTCATTACACTGAGTTACTGGTAGTCTCGAAACCCTACTTTAATACGAATATATGATAAAGCAGTTATTGGAAAAGATTATGTAATTTAAGAGATTATGAAAAACTATTGAAGAACCCCCTTAAATTGTTTCTTCTGTCTGCATTCCGGTGTTACCTTTCTCGAGTTTAAGTGGTGAGACATTCAGTATTTTAGCACCTGGTAAATATATACAATAGATTTTATTTTTGCTTAAGGCGGGTTTTGGCTTTCATACTTACCTAATCATTCCTGGCTTTTAGACGTCAATCACTAAGGATAAAGTTGATTAATTTTACATCCAGTGACAGGGAAATCGTTAGCAAATTTAATGGTTCTACAAATCTCCAACAATAAATTAGCTCAATGACATCTGCTATGAACCTTATGTTAACCATAGTGGTTTTCATTTCCTCAAATGTAATGCTGCTACTATTTATCGGGCATCCCAACTTCCCTTATAGACTAGTATGAATAGTAGATGTATCTGTTTGGGTATTTAAGTGAAGATGATAAAATGAGAGTATGTAGGAATCTTTCCCTATGGTTTCCAAATGGTCTTGTAATTGCGGGCATATATGTTATTCCTAAACGGATAAGCCTAGATTCAGAAGATTAACTAGATGCTTAATGCCTAAGCGATTTTGAGTGTAATATAAGTATAGCAGTATCTCCGGCATATTTACGCCTTAATTAGCAATTTCTTATTAGAATTGAGTAAGACCAATCCCCTCTTATAAACAGCACAAATCTTTCCACAATATCACTGCCGGTACCTGGATGATTATTTCGCACTTTGGTCACATGAAAGAGACAAACTGGAAGACTTTCTAAAGTTTGTAAACCAGATTGATGAAAAAATTTAATTCACGATGGAAGTAGAAGATGGTGAGCGGTTACCGTTTTTGGACGTTGAAGCGATTCGTTCAAATGGGACGTTCAAAGAGAAATTGTTAAGAAAGAAAAAGAAAGTATGCTGGGATAATACTCAATTTTCGGTCCCATCACAATTGCAGGCTAAAGATTGGAATAATGAGGAGCCATGAAAGAGAAATCAACACTTTTCACAAGTCTACCGACGCAACATAAAAGGGTCGATAAATAGGATTGTTCATGAGTTTGCTGATTAGCATGAGGCTCCTGCGAACAGAAATATATTGGCGAAACAGGGAGAAAAATTAGCACACCAATCAAGGAACATCAGAGGCTTTGCAGGAAAATGGATACCGAAAGATGAGAACTAGCGGAACACATCGCACGGAGTAGACACGAGATCAATTGGAAGGCAACAGAAATGAAAGCTCCATACGGTGACAAGACAAGGCAGCGGAAGATTAGGGAGGCCATTGATATCGTTGGGGAGACAAATCTAATGAACAGGAGATTGGAAAAAGGTAGAGTTAGCGACAGCATCGCCTACTGCCTAAGCAAGCTCGGGGAAAAGAAGAATAGAGCAAAACCAGCAAAAAGGAGACGCCCGGAGCAAGGATTTGCTGCTAACCGGAGGAAAAGGGATTGCGATGACGAAAGTGTGGCGGAGGTGTTTTCGGAAATTAAGCGAAGATGTTGTCAGTGAGTGATGCCCATTTCGAATAAACCACTACAAATGGGAATGTACCGCGTCCACGGTCTGACTTTTGAAATAATTATGCATAAAATGGACTCAGGACAAGGTGCGTTCCTATAAGTCTTTCTACCAATATGACCAAGTTGCGAAAACAAGGTCAAACAACTTCTAAACCACTACAACTTTGAGGGTCTGGCAGTCAGGGAGCTGGGCAGACGGATAAGCAAACTGTCACGAAAATTCGACGTTATGGCCAAAATGTACGGGAAATCCACTCGAAATGTCGCATGCGACCAGATATAAGCGTCCACAGTTTGCTCAGATGACATGGGTTTAATGATGGAGAGAACCCGTGTAAGAAAGGCCTGATATCTGCAAGCATAGGAATCAGAGCTTGGGCGTTCTGCTCGGTGAGACGGCAGTGTACGTGCTTCTAGTGCCTTGAGAAATAGCGTATGGAGTGAAAAACACACAGGGACTGGAACCGAGTGAATTCTGTCAACCAGAAAGAGAAGGAACGGATCTATGAGACAATGAAGGGATCCGGATTGGAGGCCCGAGTCGGATCATCCGATCGTAAGAAAGGGGGTTAGGGTGAATAAAGCCAGGTGTGATGAAGCCACACTCGGTTTGCCACAAAATGGCACACATTTTGGCGAGTGGAATATGAACAAATGAAAAGTTGTGATAGGGCCGCAGTGGGAGAAGAGAGTAAAGAGTAGATAGATAGGCCAGGACAGAAGTGATACTGTAATAGCTTTCAGCAGAACGTTTTTCGAGGGATTGACTTCACTTGTCTCTTTGACAAGTTCGTAGTTTGGTGCTGAGAATGGCAGCACTCACTGATGATGCCGACTACGATGCCCGCGAAACGTTTGAGAATATACTAAGTTTACGGTTTAATGTTGGCAATAACGATAACTACTATGACAGAGGAATTCAGACTATATGCGTTTTTCTTAGTTGTCCTGATAACAAGACCAAGTTGAGACAATGAGATAAACAACAATTCCCACAATATAGTTTGGAAGTTACAAGCTGGATCCAAGAATGTAAAGCAGAGCCATAAAGCTTATTATTTCTCTCTTTGAGTGGCACATTTGGAATACATTAAAACGGGAAATTTTTAGACAACTATGTTCCTCTTAGGAATTAGCTGTCTACCCATTGATATTTCGTTAATTAATTGCACTTGCATCCCCACTGTCTAGCTCTTCATCAAGGAATATGAATAAACAAATGAGAAGCAGTTAAGACAAAAGCACTTTCTCACTTTCAGCAGAGGCATAGCGGTTACGGTAGAGGTAGCAATCAATTCAAATAAATCTAAGTGAATTATAAAGTAACGGGAGAAAATTAACAACAAACTCAAGCAAATTAAGATTAGAATATACTACAAATATTAACTGGGTAAGAGACCAAACTTACATTTGGACATATTGAATAAAACATACGAAGATCTAATTACTTAATAGTAATAACTTTTCGTTCGCATGAAAGGGTTGTCCTTTAGTTGCTTGAGATCATCACAAATTTCACGTTTATAAGCTACACGAGATATCCTATTTCGATCCGAACGAAAATAGGTTGAGCTTAAGCCTTATCCTTGACATACATATTAAGAGCAGGATGTCATTCCTGTAACCTCTTCCAGCAGACACTAAACCAAGAAGACGAATAGGATCTCCTCTACATGCCATATATTATCTCAGCAGCAACAAAGAAGTAGCACAAAGAATGCTATGGATTAATTTGTTAAGTTGACTTTCTTGATAAACTTCGACACAAAACGAAATTAACCACAGCAATCTGATATGAGAAGGTTCTACACTAATTATGTGATACATGCTTCATCTGGAAAATGTCAATTTTTAAAAATTAATCACTAATGCTCAAGCCAATTAACTCATAGATCCCGCAAAATTAAGGAACCATTTACATATAAGCTCTCGCGGCTTGTTATTTTTCTGTTGCCTTAATTAAACTGGAGGGTGCAAATTATTCAAATGAACATTTAATAAGGCGTTTGTGCATTAGAATTACCAGTCGAATGTATGTATCTTGGAGTATAGTACCGAATGCAGAGTGTTTTAAGTTCATAGCCATTTATTCATTTCAGTTTTATTTCCAATACAGTTTTATAACGAATATTTTTGCTTCAATTAGTTAATGTTATAACATTTTTCTGAAAATTAACCATAGCATTTTAATTAAAGGAAAAGCAAAGAAATACATTTCTTGCATATTATTTTTTTTACAAGTTTAGCGCAAGCGATAGTTTTGGAAATCTGAATTAACTTCGAATTTCTGTTTATAGTTAGGCTCTCGAGACTGAGAATAGACCTGATATAATAACTGTGCTCACCATATTTCATTTAATCTGCTGAAGGATAGGTAGTTGAATTTTCCCACATTTATGTCATAAAGCCTCATGATTCAGCTGAATTTCACATAGACTTGCTCCCCAAAGAGTATTCTCATCCAGGCAAAAGTGGACTGAAATTCCGACCTCGTCTAGGTCTCATCCGCACCCATAGCAAGACACAAACACGAATAGCGCAACGAATAGTTTGTGAAATTCAATTGAAACTCGAAGCCTACTCGTATGCCTGTGAGAAAATTCAACTACTAGTTATTCATGAATTTAGACTAAATAGAGTGAATATACTTTATTTTCAGCATGATTGCTAGTCAAAACTGGTTTTTCCTGCTACAAATCGACACAATCTAGCTTTAGGCCTCACGATGCTTAAAATTGTTATTGCAATTAGGCGTAAGCAAGCGTCCCCTTGCGTCTCTATGGGAATACCTACTGTGCCTAGCACACCTGAGACATTATTCGGTTGAGGTTGGTGTAGACGGGTCGGTCAATTTTCAGTAGGTTCGTACACATCTTCACTAGCGCCTCGTTGTCCACGAGAATAGTGACATCAGACTGTGGGTCCGAAACGCTACAGCAAAGAACTGTGTTGTATGGCTCCACAACAGAGGCGCACATTGTGTTGCCTGGAAACACTGTTAACTGGAGTTTAGGAGTCTTTGGATATTCAAGTTCCAAGGCTTGCAGAATACCTGAAATAAAAAGAGATAATATAAATGAGTCAAGGGCTTCTACACTAACTTACACTTGTCTGTTTTGTCAATACTTAAAGCGGACCTGTCATTTGAATGGCAGAGCTGAATAAGGAAAACCTTTTGGACTGTTAGCGTTAAACAATTTTAAAGGCATAAAGACCAAGAGTGTGTGGCATTTTGTGTGGTCCAAGTTTCCTTTCGTTTAATAGAACTTGTTTGACCTTGTTTTCGCAAATTGGCCATATTTGCAGGAAGACTTAGATGGACGCACCTAGTCCGGAGTCCATTGTATGCATCATCATTTCCAGAGTATGAGCGTGAACGTGGTACATTCTCAGACGTTTCGCTGTCATCGTCAGTGAGTCTCGCCATTCTTAGCACCACACAAAGAGACAAGTCTGTTTGACAAGTTGTTGTGTGGTGCTAAGAATGACGAGACTCACTGACGATGCCGGCGAAACGTCTGGGAATGTACTTCGTCCACGGTCATACTCTGGAAATGATCATGCATACAATGGACTAGGTGTGTTACTCTAAGACTTCCTACCAATATGAACAATTTGCAAAAACAAGGTCAAACAACCTCTAAAAAAATTTAATTTTATCGTTTAACCTATTTAATTAATTGTGAAAAATCCAACCTACAGTCCTTAACTTGCCTTAAGCGACCTGGATCAGGGGACAATTTTGAGATGCACATGAGTTTAAATTCTATGATTTTTGCTATCCACATCCTAACTGGTATCATCTCTAAAATGTATGCAATCTTACAAAATGCTAATACATATGAAATTGTTAGCAAACCTGATTGTCACAGGACAGGCAAGGAAACTGTGTTACGTAGTCTAAGCTAATAAACGCTTGATAATGTCGTTCAATAGAACATACTATATGTAACTCACTAATGAAAGTTATGTATGACTTATCTGCAGAGTCCAATTTTTAATTTTGTCTTCCAAATTAGTGACGATTTCTGGCATATTTAAAGAATCGCCAAACCTATAGTCTGCCTCATATTTGTAAGACTCATATTTCTACTTGCTTAGGAGTTTTTACTCTTTTTGAATAAATTATTGCACCTTGCGATTTAGCTATTGTCGCCTTTACTTTGGGACTTGTGAAGAGAAATAAATTAATTCACAATTTAAGCTTTCCTCAGATTTTTCGAGATGTTAACCAAAGCTCGCCCGAGTAAGTAGGGCTGAATGTCTAGGCTGAATACTATAAAGTACAGAGAAGAATTCACAAGAATTCACATTTAGTCTAGTCAGCTTTGTCACTTGTAGACTTTTTTGTCCAGGCCTAACCAAAAGTTCTACCTACTTCAAAGAGTCTTTCATTCTAGTGGAAACTATCATAAAAACAAGGTGCCTGTTTGGTGAAGAGGAAACTCACCTTTGACGGACCTAAAATCCTGATTAGCTAATATATTTAAGGCTATCTAAAGCCTAGTGTGGAATTTTACTTTGGCTCACGAAGTCACCAAGAGTGAAAGAGTACAATCTAAGTCTTCCACATGCTCGTATACAAAGGATTCATTATAAACTTAGAATTAATATTATCTGGTAAAAATTATCTATGAGATTTGGTCACCATTTCGTCTAGGATGATGATGTGAGTAGTCCTTAGGTTTCGGTTGAATTTCATATAGCCTTGCTTTCCACGAAGGGATTATCATCCAGGGTGGGCTGCAATTTGGATCTAGTCTTAGCAACACCACCAGCGGGAATCGGACAATGTCAGAGCGGCGTATAATCCCGACACGTTAATCTCTATGCTACATTGCCATAAGTGCCCTTGTTTCACGGGGGAGGTGTGCATTTCAAGGAGGAATAGGCATTTTTCCATATCATATTGTGTGGTGGTAATGCCGATGAAACAAACCTATATTTATATAGCAATCGACATTGTTACCTACTCAAAACGACAAGAATTATATTTAATCTGAACTGAAGAATCTATTAAATGTGTTAAGGAAGAGATTCAAGAAAAAAAACTAAAATCAGAAGATTCTTGAAGCTGAAAGTAAAGCTTCTGCGATGTACTCATATTATAACTAATTTAAAGGAATGAATGGTTTACTCAGTTTAATGAAAAAAGTAATACCAGAGCATAAAGTTGGATCAGGAGGGCAAATTAGTATATTATTTCTCTAGTTATTTAGTCTAATTTTTTAACCGATGTTTTCATGGAAATCTATCTCCTACAGTATTTCTTTTGAAATATTGGTATAAATATATTAGCTCGATGGACAAGCAACTTTAGGAATGACTTTGTATCGTCCCCAATGTCTACCAGCTAAAAGAAGTCATCCTCAAATTAGTTCAGCCCTTAGGAACCCAACCCCTGTTCATTTTGAACTGGTTTTGTGAGCGAAACAAATTTGTTCCAAAAACTTTAACTAAAAGATCGCTTATTTGGTCGAGGATATTCATTTGTGCTGTGGATTTTCACAAAAAGGGTATATCATGCTTAGTTTCCCCAAGCTTTTATCTCAAATTGAGAATCACTAACAGGTAAATCAGGGTAGGGGTACTATTATGTATTTATGCGAGTATCTAGCCCTGTTTTCTGTGCTTTATTATTTAATGTTTCCTCTACCGTATGGTCTCAGGACAATTAATATTTTCCTCCATTTATAAGTTCTGTCAAAATAATGTATCTGATGACTAGATTACTAATTTCATCTTACGGCATGTCACACCAGCTCCTGTGCCGCCACTGTAAGAATGGTACAAAAAGAGGGCCTGAAGGTTGTTGGTGCGCTCGACCTCGTGTCGAATGGAATTCATCGTTTTTCCCATCAGTGTCTGTGCGACAGAATGAAAGCCTCTAGTGAAGTTGCTTGCCGAGTCCTCGAATCCACTAATCAGCGAGTCAGGATTAAAGAGTCCACGGTATACGCCCAATCGGATTTCATCTGTTCTGATAAAAGTGAGTAAATAGGTTTTACCTTGAACTAAATAACTTGCAAAATAAGCAAAAATACTCAATTGTATAGATAATCGCCTACACAGATTTAGGTCAAGGATTTGGCAGACTTTGCTTTTTAAGTTATAACTCAATGTTCATGAGACCTAAGCGAGGTTGAATATTCCGTTCACCTTGAACGTAACGAGATTGTAGAATAAATGATGAACCCAATAAAATAGTTAATAATTACAGATACGAAGAGTACTCGGTTTCGATGAATCTTCTGAGATTACATTGTTAAGGGGACATTCATTTGGTATGAAAGTTAATGAAGAAGAGATTCGAAGGTCGGTCTCACCAAAAGAGGATTGTTGAATACCGTTTGGCTTTTATACGACGTTCGGGTTGACGCAGTCCATGAGACAGTACAAGACAGCTTTTAGGGTGAAAATGGACAGAGATTTCGTCCGTCATCTGATGGACATCATCAGAGCTGGAACACATTCTTGTAGAAATCTCAAGTTAACACTAGTGCACGAAGACTATCCGGCTCTTTCTTACTTCTTAAATAGATTAATTAAAAAAAGAAATGCAAAAATCTAGATGGATATAGATTAGTTTGGCTAATTAACTTTCATACCGTTCCTGCTACCTTTGCTTGAGTGTGCGTGTGTGTGGGTGTGCATATGTGTGAGAGAGTGTGTTTAAGTGTCTATACACAATACCGGTCCTAAATCAGAGTTGTCAACAGGCTAATGTCAGGTTCTGATAATCAAGGCTAAATGACTCAGGAGAAAGCCCTGACCGAGACTGCGTAAGTCCGTAAACAAGTATGGTTGAGTTAGTGAGATATGAGCTTGTGAGCATGAAAATCAAGTTACGAAACCACTTGTCCTAACCCTTCAGTCTAGGGTGAGTAACGTTCAATCCCCCAAGGAAAGGAAAGAATGGGGTTGCGTAATCTGACATGTCTAGTTTGGTTGATGAGCTTACTCTGACATGTTGGACGAATGTGAGTGAAGTTAGAACCATCACCGAACAGACAAATTGGGGAAGGATGAGGTAATCAATTTATCTGGTACAACTCTGGAGGATAATGTAGTACTTTTATTGGAAAGAGGACTGAATTTTGCTCTTCAAAATTAGGTAAACCATTGTCTGGAGATACTTGTTGAATTAATTAGCTTATCTGATAGATTGCCTGAAGAGGTAAAGAATATTATTAAACTGGAGGTGATCCCCATTTTGATCATACAATACCGCCTAAGAAAAATTGTCCTCTTAGTACGATTTCTAGATATATGTGTAAAAGTAATCCACTCATACCGAAAGCCGACAAAGGTAAAGCAGTGGTAGTCATGGCTAAATCGTTATGTGGAAAAAATGCTAGTTCATTTAAATAACACGAACACGTATATGCCTTTACTGAGATATCCAGCAGAAAGACTTAAGGCTGGGCTAATTGATGCCTTTAAGGTATGCATAAGTAATGATGAAATGGAAAAGTGGAAAACGAATTAACTACTCAAGAGAGATGCAAGGGTCCCCAAGGCTTAAGCTCTCCATAAGGTTCACGAGGAGGGTGGCTATCTAAGATTATTTTTAAAGAATAAAGCAAGCGTAATGCATAAAACTGCCAATTTTATAGCTACATTCAATTAAAAATTCTTATAATTTTATGAAATTGATTGATCAGCAGACACTTTCAATGCTTTTATGTTGCGTCTAGTTACGCAAATATTCCCGTTTAAGGAGCTATTCAAGCTCTGAAACAAATTCTGGAGGAGCATGCAGAGGTAACACAAGGCGTAAGGCTGAGTGTGGCGTCCATAATTAGACTTAGTAACCTATCCATGAGTACCACTTATTTTACCTTTGATGACAAGTTATACTAACAAACACAAGAACTATTGATGGGATCTTGCCTGGCTCCCATCTTAATGAACAACCGTATGGCAAGAATGGAGTGACACTTCCTGGAAGAGGCACTACTAACTCCCAAATTGTTGGTTAGATACATGGATGATTAGTTTATAGATAGTTTTCGGCTTTCACTTAACCAATCTGAATGTAACGCTAGGTTCACAATGGAAATAGAAGAGAATAAATCCCTACTCTTTCTGGATGTTCTCACCACTAGAGAAGAGAGTAGGTTATGAAGAGATGTTTATAGGAATCCAACATATGCTGTCTCTTTGCTTAATTTTCTTTCCAAC